ACAATAAAACAATTTTTAATTGTGTGTGCGCTGAATGAAGCATGCCAGAATTTGTTTTTATTTATTCAAATACAAAATAAATATAGAATAATTGCTGGTGTTTTCATTAGGAAGATAAAATGATTTTTGGAGCACAAAATGACAAAATAATCGCCAACACTTTTCCAATATGGCGTAAATGTATGACGTCATTAAGTTACCGCTATACTGGTGATTCGTTCCAAAACATACTGTCCTATGTTTTGGAACGAATCACCAGTATAGCGTCGATTCATGACGTCATTCGCATTCGACAGTGTACTGGGTTGTATTTCGGAACATACCCCAGATATTGCAAATATTATTATATCCATTTAAGAAATACGACTGTAAGAAAAGAATAATGCAGTGGCTTAAGGACACTTTCATTTCATTTATTTCATTCCTAATAGGTGTCTATGAGTCATGGCATCTACTTAACATTGTGTATAAAGTGTGGTCGTCATTTGTCATCTATACTTCTATGAAAAAAATCAAGGGATTAGGTAGAGAAGGGATGGAGGAGTCTTTCACTCCGCCGTCATTGGTTGACTTCCTGTAAGCTCTGACAGCGCGCGACATGTTATACTCCCGTTCGCTCGGGACCGTAATGGCGGGAAAATTTGAAAATTAGCAAATTTTTTGCTATATTGCAAATTTTGCTATATTTTCACTTTGAGACAATATTTATGGATAAAACTTACAGGAATTCTTGTTGAATGTATAAACTATCGAATAAAATTATTTTTGGTTGCTAGAAATTGTAATAAAATACGTAAATTACCCTGTATAGCACAGTAGTAGTATGTACTTCAATTTTAGTGACAAAATTACTACTAATTTGAATTCTACACTTTTGTTTTTGGAGAAATTTATATCAAATTGTTTGGAAATATGTATATTTTCATGTTTTATGTGTTTCCATTCGTTACTCATACCAAAATATAAAATATAAAGAAATTAAAAAAAATTAAATATTAATATTTTATCTGTGTGACATTTAGAACAATATTTCTAAAATAGTTTTGTGTGAATTTGAAATAAATACAACGTCAAGTTATTTGAAATATGTAAGAAAACTATATTTACTTACATTTTACACTAAAAATAAATGAGAATGTGAAAAATACCACATTTATGACCCAGCCGCCATAATTGGCCTTCCAGATTTTGAAGCACTTTTGGCAATTTACTTTTCACTTTTTATACCACAAATTATATATATATGTGTTCACTATATTACAAGGAATATAAAAAAGTATAATACTTTCGTTTTTAGTCCAGACACAAATATAAAATTCTATAAAAACACGGAGCACCGTCATCAAAACGGCACGTGGAACGCCGAAAGTTCAGAGTGATTTCTTTTTTTTTTTTCTAAGAAACATTGCCAGGTTATGGTTTAAAATAAAAGAGCATATCTTTGTCTTTGATACTAATATCTATTGCATAGTGTCTTTGGTTTTGTTTAAAACGAAAAAATAGTTTTTTCATAGGTAGACATGTTTACATAATTCTGATCTAATTCGATCACTACTTGGCGGGCGTAAGGTTGGTATTGCGCGATCTAATGTGAGCAGCGCTTGGTTAACAGGATAGATCAGTTTTTAAATGAAAGTTGTTGGTAAATACGATTTTAGTAATAGAGACAATATTTCGTATTTTAGCTTTAAAATAAATGGTATATTTCAGATAAACTTTGGCGGTCATGGATATTCTCATATAATAAACAACGTGCTACCTAGAATGAAAGCTAAAGGCATTTCACAGGCTACCATAGACAAAATAACTGTTGAAAACCCCGCAAACTGGTTAACGGTTAACTTTTAAAAATTTTAGTTCCTGAAGATAATACAATAAATACAAGGTTATTTTGCAATAACCGGCCGGAAGAGAAGGTGCAGAGTAAGAAATATAAGCAAATGGTAAAGAAAAATGAATTCAAATAATCTTAAATATTCTGTGCTTTTTATTCTTTACATTTAAAATACGTGCTGGTTTTACATTTAACTGATTTTACCGCGCACGCACACATCCATAAGGGTTGATTGGTAGGCAAAAACGTTGTTGTCCATAAATCACATTTAATTTGGGCATATTATTTATTCTGTGATTGGGGATACTTTCATAATAGTAGAAGCCTTATTTACTCGTATTTTCAAAACCTTCAATAACTGTTTATCATTATTTAAATATACAAACTTAAGTTTAACATTTTGGCCATTCTTTGAAAAATAACGCTGTATATTTTTTACTACAAAAAAAAAAAAAAAAAAAAAAAAAATACCCAAAATTAATCTTCTGACGTTAATTCATTTATTACTTACATTCCTCTGGGAGCTTCCTTCATAGATTGCTTCATTTGTCATAGTTACCACGTTTTGCAGGAAGTAAGGCCGATCACATAAATACGGACTTCCGTTTCGTACGTAGTATGTGGCGGCAGTGATTTTATTACTTTGAAATGTCATCGGGAAGAAGAAGACGCTGCTGTCCATCACCTGTTTCTGTTTCCCTCTATCGCCTCTTACGACACCCATGGGATGACATGGAGCAGAGGATTCTCTTACGTCGCTGTTACACTGCACCTTTATGATGTTAAATAAGGTTCATCATCATCATTACAGCCCTTCACAAATCCACTGCTGAATATAGGCCTCCCCCAAAGTATGCCACAAAGCACGGTCCTGAGCCATCTGCATCCATCGACTTCCTGCATGTCTTACCAAGTCGTCACTCCATCTAGTGTGTGGTCGCCCTACACTACGCCTACCGGTACGATGCTGCCACTCGAGAACCTTTCTTCCCCATCGGTTATCGGTTCTTCGAGCTATATGGCCGGCCCATTGCCACTACAGCTTACTAATCCGTTGGGCTATGTCGGTCACTCTGGTTTTACTGCGGATATCCTCATTTCTGAGTCTATCACGCAGTGAAACGAAAGCATAGCCCTCTCCATAGCTCGCTGAGCGACTTTGAGCGTCCTCATACGGCTAGCAGTGAAGGACTACGTCGTAGATCCGTAAGTCATCACTGGCACACGCACACACGCACTGGTTATACACTTTAGTTTTCAGAGATTGAGGTATGCTATACCTGACGAGATGTGTCGTAATTTCCCGAACGCTGCCCAGCCGAGTTGAATCCGTCGATTGACCTCTCGGTCGAAGTTGGACTTACCTAGTCGGACTATTTGTTCCAGGTAAACATACTCGTCAACAACTTCGAGCATAGTGCTCCCAACAACTACCGGCATAGGTGTGATCTTTGTTTTGTCCATGTTCATCTTAAGACCTATCCGTTGGGATACAACATTGAGGTCATTGAGCATGGTGCCAAGGTCCTCCATCGATTCTGCCATAAGGACTATATCGTCGGCAAATCGAAGGTGAGTGATGTACTCGCCATTGATGTTAATACCGTATCCTTTCCAGTCCAGTAGCTTGAAAACGTCTTCCAACGCAGCGGTGAAGAGTTTCGGGGATATAACATCACCCTGTCTTACACCTTTCTGCAGTTGGATAGGTTTCGAGCTCTGGTTCTGTACTCGGATAGCCATCGTAGCCCTACTGTACAAACACTTCAGCGCTTCGATATACCGACAGTCAACTTGGCACCGCTGAAGGGACTGTAGCACCGCTCAAATTTCGAAGGAATCAAAGGCTTTCTCATAGTCCACATATGCCAGGCAAAGTGGCAGATTGTACTCTTCGGTCCTCTGTACAATCTGCCGCATACATACCGTATTTGGTCCATGGTACTGAAGCCTTTTCGGAAACCGGCTTGTTCGGGAGGCTTGAAGTCGTCGAGTCTGCGTGCGAGACGATTCGTAATGACTCTCGAAAACAGCACGTAGACGCGGCTCAGAAGGGAAATCGGTCTGTAGTTCTTCAAGAGAGCGTTGTCTCCTTTCTTAAAGAACAAGACCACCGCGCTTCTGCTCCACGCCTCCGGAGTAGTGCCACCATGGAGGACGGAATTGATTAAGGTTCATGTAGAAATGTATTTTATTTTTATTTTAAAATTATTCAAAACATAATTAATCGTTTTCTTAAATTTATTCAACATAATTAATCATTTATTAAATGCATACCATAAGTCTATAAATATTCTAATTTTATTATAAATTATATAAAAGTTTTAAAATGTACTTTTTATTTAACAGAATAATATTCAATCAAATTTGCAAAGAAATGCTTTAACTTACTACACACTGATTGCAGAATGGAACTGTACATTTGATAATTTTGTGATTTTTAAATATCTTATTTTAAAAAAAAGTTAAAAGTAAAGTCACAGTCTATATACGTCTCACTGCCGGGCACAGGTCTCCCCTCATTTCTGAGAGGGTTTCAGGGCAAGGAAGTGTCCGCCGCGCTGCCCCAATGCGTGTTGGCGAACTCCACGTGTCTTCGTAATATTTTTTTTCTTATTCCTCAGACATGCATTTTTCTTCACGATGTTTTCCTTCACCGCCGAGCACGTGGTAAATCAGCACTTAAAATTGCAATTAAACAATTTCATTGGTGCTGGCGTGAAAGAGAAGAGCCGTGGTAGCTCAGATGGTTAACGCTCGCTGTAAATATAACAGAACGCGAGTAACCCGGGTTCGTTCCCTGCCGGCACCAATATCTTATTTATTAACTTTTATTCTTTTACTTTTAAATTATAAAGGGCTAACAATTTCTTTCCCGACACCTGCACGTCTGTTTCTATAAAAATAACACTGGCGACCACGGAATTCTATCCTTATATATACAGTGCCACCAACTTATCTGTTCAGGTGGACAAAATTTAAAAACTAAGGCTAACAATTTTATAAATGACATTTCGCTGTAAGCTATTATTTATTCTGTGCTGTACATAAAAGTGCATATATATATATATATATATATATATATATATATATATATATATATATATATATATATGTGAAATGTGTGTGTGTGTGTGTGCATATTTAGTAACACCGCCTTTTGCTTCTATAACCGCTTGAATTCTCCTGGGCATACTTTCGATACATTTGAGCAGTTTATCTTAATTGATTCACTCTTGTGCCAAACATCTATCAAACGCTCGATCAGTTTGCGTTTATTAGTGATGAGTTCTCTGGAAATTTCTCGTTTCATCTTCTGCCAGAGGTTCTCTATGGGATTGAGGTCCGGCGAATTCCCAGGCCAGTCAAGAACTTTTACTTTCTGGGCATTTAAAAATGTCGTGAGCTTTTTTGCTTTGTGGCAAGGAGCAGAGTCATGCATGGACGTAAATTCGCCGTTCGGAAACCACTCCTGGACCTGGGGCAGCATTTTGTCTCAAGGACCTGGATATATTGATCCTGCCGCATCGTTCCCTCCACTATGTATAGACGACCAGTGCCTTTGCTACTTATTATGGACCATACCATGATGCTGAATGGGTGCTTCACTCGCTTGATTATGCAATCTTCTTTGAATTTCTCACCCTTCCGTCTTCTTACAAATTCAGCTTTGTCCGATAAAATTTCCACTGACGATTCATCAGAAAAACAAACCTGAAATATTTATTATTATTTTAGTGTACAGAAATCAAAATTTAAATTTAATTTAAATTAATGTGGATCTAGCTTTTTATTTCCAGCAGCTTCAAGAATACTTTACCTACCTTATTCCAGTCTTCGGCAGTCCAGTTCTGGTGTTCTTTTGCCCATTTTATATGCTTTGATATCATAGCCTGTGTAAGAAGAGGTTTTTTTAGCCGGTCGACGACAAATGAACCCCAAGTCTTTAAGGCGTCGACGAACTGTTGCTAGGGAAATGTTGATTCCAGCGTCCTGTACCTTCTTCGTAAGAATTTTCCGAGGTGCCTTCCTGTTTTCAACACAGATATCCCTGATTTTTCTTTCATCACGTGGCGTGGTAATTTTCTGTCGTCCACAATTTTTCGCACGTTTCGGCGTCAGCTCAACATTTGTGTCAAGTTTTTTTTTATTCGATCAACTGATGCCCTGGAAACATTACCAATCGATGCAATCAACCTTTGGGAATGTCCAGTATGCAATAATAAAGTTTTAATTTCGGAAATTTTCCTTGGAGACAGAACTTTAGCTTTTCCAATGATTAAAATATATCCTGCAAATAAAATAACAAAATTTATGTGAAAATGAACGTTTTTTTAACCTCGAACATATTTAAGCCAGCTGCATATGGACAAACATTGTTAAAACACACCAACACTACAAAAATTCGATAAAAATGCATAAATAACCTCCAAAATACTCACCCGGGCAACGAAACTGTTAAGCGTCGACTGACTGTGTTGTGTTACGACAAAAACAAAATGGCGACCATGTGACAGATTATGCACCCTTAGTGTTGCCAGTTAAAAATTCTTAATCTACACAGATCCATAAATTCATAATAACAAAATATAAACTTAGCAGACATATGAATATAATATATATTGATTAAAATGCCAAACCAATTATTTAAGTAATAATATGAGCCGCCACTGTATTTCTTTTTAAGTGGCAGTAATGAGATCTCCAATAACGACTCTCTCAATTGAACAGTAAAGTTGGTGGCACTTTAATATATTTTTGACGACCGAAACACGGCGGTATAACCATCGATAATGATCACTCTAAATCACCATAATACGAGGGCGGCACTGAAAATTTCGGGAATTAAGGAAGTGACACAACATTACTATTTAAAAATGTATTTATTGCTTTTCGAAGTATTCTCCGCGAAATTTGACACATTTTTCCATACGATGAAACCAATCATTGAAGCAACCATTCCATTCCGAAGTTGAGGTCTTAAAAATGGCCGTTTTGTAGGCGTCCACAGCTTCTTCAGGTGATGAAAATCTCCGTCCACGCAATTTATTGTTTATTTTAGGGAAAGTATAGAAATCATTAGGGCTTAGATCGGGGCTGTACGGTGGATGGTCTAATAATTCTATGTTTTCTTGCTCTAAAAACTCTTTTGTTCTGTGTGCGGTGTGAGAACTCGCATTGTCGTGATGGAGGATGATGCGGCGGTTGCAGTTCTCTTTACGGAGTTCAGAAACGACCTGTGGCAAACAAATGCTAGTATACCATTCTACATTAATCGTTCTTGTCCCTCAAGAGGAATAGTTGTAACATGGCCGGTTTTGGAGACAAACGTGGCCACCATTTTTTTTGCAACACTCCGTGAACGAACAATTTTTGTTGGCTTTAACTCATTTTCGAACACCCAAACTCGTGACTGGTTTTTTGTTTCGAGTTCGTACGCATATATCCAGGATTCGTCACCTAATACGATGTTGTATACAGCATTTGAGGGTCCTGCGTGGAATCTTTCGAGAGTTCTGACGCACCAAGTAACGCGAGCCGCTTTTTGCTCTTCACAGAGCGAATGCGGTATCCATCGGGAAAACAACTTTTTTACACCTAATTGTTCATGCAAGATTATTTGTATTTGACTCATGCCAATGTCTAAAGTTGTCTGAATTTCGCGGTATATCACATGTCTATCTTCCTCAATCAACTTACGCACAGCATCAACGTTTTCTTGAGTGTCTGCAGTTTTTGGACGACCTTGACGGGTATCATCACTGAGCTTGACACGTCCACGTTGAAATTCAGCAAACCAGCGATAAATTGTGGTTTTGGATGGGGCTTCATCACCAAATGCAGAAATCATCCGGTCAACACACTGTTTTTGTGTTAAACCACTTCGAAAGTCATAATAAATAATCGCTCTTGAATTTTCTCGAGTCAATTCCATTTTCTCAACGACTAAACAAGTTTGACAAAACCTTGTGACAAGACCGAGAATCTTTTTTTAAATAAATAAATGGTATTCGATTTTTAAAACCAAGGAGTTTTCATTTAAAAAGATTTTAATATGACAGGAACAGTGGAAATATTCCATTCCCGATACTTTTAGCGCAGCCTAGTAATGAAATAAAAAAACAAAAAAAAATAGAGTATTCATTAATACTCAAAGAATAAGAATTATTGATAAACATTATGCAGAAGATATATTTAACAAAACCTTATGATAAAAATTATCTGTTCTATTGTTTGTTAATTTTAAAATTACTATATATCGGTTCCAAAAGTGAGACCGTGATAAGACTAAGAACTGGGGGGGGGGGGGGAGTTATTGTTCTTTCCCTGTTTTATTGCACGCCTGTTTTTAACGAAAATGTTAAAAACAACTGGAATTTTTTTATAAAAAATATTCTCGTGGATCTTTTCTTTCGTCTCAAATGCGGCAAAAGAGATATTTTTTTTTATATAATCAAATGAGATTATGAGGCGTCCACTTTTGGATTTTTCAAACTTTTTTACCATTACAGTCTATAAAGGTCCACTGCTGGTCATTGGCCTCCCCCATAGATTGCCTCATTAGGGAGATTTCGCCATTGTGTATGTGTGGATATTCTTACTCCGCCACTATACGGCTGTTATTTTATAGGAAGTTATAGTGCAATTTTAGGTAGCTACCTATATAATAATAGAATGGAATCGTACCGATATACTTACCTTTATGCTGTGAGACACTAATCAAATGACGATTATAGATTTTTATCTTTCTAATATTTAATCCACGCGAATAAATAATAATCGTTATTTTCGGCTCGAACGGGGAAGGACCACGCTCTCACAGAATACCAGCGTAAAATAGTAGCTTAATACTGCTGTGTTCCGTATGGTGAGTGTAGTGAACCGGAGACCCTTTTTACTGGAAACGAGGCATTCCATCTTAGTCCTCACGGGTAACAACGCATCTGTATTTTGATTCGTAATCGAGGATAGATGTAGATGTCTGTGGGCTCGTTTGTCACCCTATCCTATAAAAAAAGTTTTTTTTTGTATTATGATATAGTTATTCTATTTCTCGATGAAGTTTTGACTTTGGTTGTTGTTAGCCGTGCATCATGCCATGTATCATATTGTGTTAGAGTGCGTAGGCGTCGGGAGCGCTTAGTCACGAACGCGAGTCGAACGAATCGCAGTCACACACAACCACGACTGTCGGTACACGTTACTCCTACAATCAAGGTGAAACCTTCATCGTGAAATAGAATAACTTTAACAGGCATAACACTTTTGTACGTGGTAGAGCCACGCTGCAGCTATATTAAAATTGAAGCATGAACAGATCGGCTCGACCGACGTAGAAGCAGGACCACGCTCTCACAGAATACCAGCGTGAAATTGCTGCTGTGTTTGGTATGGTGAGTGTAGACAACCGGATTCCATCTTAGTCATCAGGGGTGACATCACATCTGCATTTTGAATCTTATTTGGAGGTAAATGTAGATGTCTATGGGGGCCACAACATACATCAATCATCAGGTGAACTGTGTGCTTGTTTCTCACGTTATTTTATAGAAACAACACTATCGCTTTTTATATCTCGTTTATTTAACTAAAATAAATTCAACATTCTCACCGCCCTTTTCAATCACGGCGGCGACATTTTCCGCCAATGATACGCTGACGACCTGGCACGTGCAAAACGTTTTGCACTTTCTGCAATTTTCAAATAAATCGTTCGGTCCTGTGTCGGACTCCGCTTCTTTGACGGGCGGGCTGCAGCAGAAGTCGGTGTCGAGTCCCATTTTCTCACCGTCTTCTAAAGTTTGGGGGAGTTTTTGGTTGAGTGTCTCCGGTAGCAGCAGGCTCGCGATCCCACCGGCCACGAGGAGCGCGCCCATGATAATTAGTGGCAATACCAAAATGTCCGAACCCTAAAAGAAAAAATATCATGAATATTTAAATAGGATTAAGAGATAAGAGCCGTGATGGCTATGGGTTAAGCACTCTCCGTTAAGTTACTGCACGTGAGCAACCCAGGTTCAACCTGCCGGCATCGATTAAATTGTTCATTGCAATTTTAAGTGCTAATTTGCAACGTGTTTTCGCTGTGTCACCCATATTATGTCGAGTACAAATTGCGATATTACCTTCAGATCAAAGATACACATACATACTAGGTTGGGGAAAAAGTTTCTTCGTATTCTGTTTGTATAAAATTGAAGAAAAATCTCTTTGGTTGTACTTGACTGGTTAATATCAATACATATTATACGACATTAAGAACAAGAAAAATAAAAAGCAAAAACACTTTCCCGCCATTTTTAATTTGTTTTTCTGTCCGCCACAATTAGTGAATCTAACGAAGAAATTCGATACATTCTGAGGTTTTATTACAAAAAAGAGAAAAATGCGACTCAAGGCGCAAATAAATTTTGTGACGTTTATGGACCTATTGCAGTGTCAGTAAGAGTAGCGCAAAGGTGGTTCGAGCGTTTTCAGCCCGGAAGTTTT